AAATACTAAATAATTTATGAGAATCTTAAATTATTTTGAATATTTTTATTAATTTAAGAATTACATTTTATTTATTTCTAAAATATGATAGGCGATCCATTTAAGATATGATTAATGTCTTATTATTATAATACACTTTTTAAATTTAGGATTTTACCAGTGGCAGTGGTAATTGATGATATATAATTATTATTATACCAAATGTTTTAAAAGGCTACACCAACTTGTGGACCATGCTTTTAAGTCCCCAAATAATAGTTTCAAGAATTTGATTCGGATTAGAAGTTTTGTGTCAAAGCCAAGTCATGTATTGATATTGTAATACGTAGATGAGTAACTATCATCAATAGAAATTGAAAATTCACACATGAATCTCTGTAACGACGTTATTTATAACTTTATTAACTTCATAATGGTCAAAAATTTTAGTTAACTTATTTAATTTTAAATATAAATTGATTTTTATTTTAACTTAGAAATTTTCGAAAAGTTCACTATATTTTTTAGTTGTTGCAACTTTATTGCGCTTAAGTAACGTTCAGATTAAAATATGAGTTGATTTATGGAGCTTAACTGAAAAACAGGAACTAATACTTTTATTCCAAAAAAAGTGTTATAGTCAATAAAAAGAATTTTGAACTATGATATCTGCAAGTCCTTATTTAAAACCTTTAAATTTAATATCATTATACAAGAGTTATCTTTACAAATTGATACAAATATCGAACATAAGTTTGTTGACATAAACATTATTTCCATAATACAAATAAATATATTCATTTAAACATGTTTTTGTTTTTTTGTCTGGATGATATTGAATACTAACTTTTTCTATATAACTTCTTATCGAGACTTTGTGAGATAAATTAATTAAAAGCGTACTCCAATTTTTCAGGTATAGAAGTTTCAATGCTATACTGTTTCCCAAATTATGAAAATACTAAAAAATATTAAAAAAAAAAATAAAAAAATAAAAAGCCAATTAAAGAATGTGTTAATATCTACAGAAGAACATCGTATTTCTTTTTTGGAAACAAAGAGTAGTCGAAAATTGTGAAAATAACAACATATTTTTATTTAACAAAAATAATAAGTCAGTTTTTGTTTTTATGTAAATCATATCATTTTCAAGGCAATAAAACAGAAGAAAAGACACCGAATACCGATTTCAAAAAGGTCTATTAGGAAATGGAAAGAAAAAGAACGCTTTTTAATCATGTTAAAATTCTTTACTAATTTTGCTGTTTCTGTTCGACGATGTCCGGACTCCGTCTTGTTTAAAATCGATAACTATAAACGGATTAAGGTATTTTGTTCCGTGTTAAAAAATTTAAGAAAAATTTTGAAGAATATTTCTTAAAAAAAAAAAAAAAATAGTAAACTTTGACAAACATATACAATATTCAAAAAGATAAATCACATTTATGTGATTATACAAAAATTTTATTTATTTTTCTAAAATAATATGGATTTTCCTCTAAAATATATATAGTGGCTCGCAAAAAGTCTGCTTTTTATGTTACTTTTTTCAGAAAATGTTATTTCTGATAAGACTTGGTGTTTAATTAAACATAAAACTTTATTTATTTAAAAAATTATGTATCATAAATATAAATTTGGCTGCACAGTGAACTAGGTACTCTTCTAGGAACCGAACCCACATTTTTACATATAAGATTAATTTAAGAAGATGTACATAACTCCACATAGTAGTTTTTTTAGTTAATACAATTAATATAGATTATTATATCCTTTTTAACCTACTTCAAAAAGGAGGAGGTTATCAATTCATCTGTATGTATTTTTTTTATGTATGTTCAGCGATAATTCTTTAACACAATGTCCGATTTAAATTATTCTTTTTTTGCTGGAAAGAGGGTACGTCCGGGATGGTCTCATATAAATTTGTTTAAAATCTAATAATTGGGTCCATAAGAAAATCCTCAAACTTTTTATTTTTTATGTATGTTTAGCGATAATTCTTTACCACCTTGTCCGATTTCTATAATTCTTTTCGTTAGTAAGGGGGTACCTCAGGGGTGGTCCCATATAAATTTGGTTAAGATGCGGTGACGGCATCTGCACGATTTTTAAGTCGGTTTTTTAAAATTACTTTTAAACCTTGTTACGTAAATTAAAAGTTTAATATTTTGGTGCTTTCTTGAAACGTCGTTTTATGATTTCACTTTGTATATATTTAAGTACAGATAATTATTAGTACTGGCAGTTTATTTTAAATCAATAAAATAATATTTTGTTAATCCAAAAAAGGCAAACAAAAAAGCCATATTACATTCAGTGTAATAATAAAAATTAGATAGGTATATAAATATAGTATATTATGTACCAACAGACTAAACTTTCACTTTCAATCCCGCCTTTTTGTCATAAAAGACTTCTAAATTTTTACCAGTGACGACCGTACCGGGTTTGAACTGAATATTTTTCAACAAAAATATGGTACGCCACTACTTTTTCTAAAAACCAAAATTTATCTTTAAAATCCTTATTTATTTTGGAGCAAATTTGGTTTATAGACGTACTTTCGTACGACGCACCCTTTTCGCGTAAGAAAATAAAAACCAGTTTATTCAAATTTTGTTGAAATTTGGAACCCACCAGGAGTGGAAACACTTTTTTTTGCAAAATTTCATAAAAATATCTAAAGTGATAAGAAATGTATGATAAAATAGTTATTTTATTCTTAAAACTTTAACACCCAAGGATTCACACCCTTAAGTATCGGCACTCAATTAATAAATACCCTGTATTACTTGATATTACCTTATTCGACCCAATCGTTTTTTTTTTTCGTTGTTTGTATTTATATTTCACAACTCTATACTCCTAACTTTAATTTAATCTAACTAAACCTATTAACTAAATTAAAATATAAAAATAATATAAACCCCCTAAAAAATCGAACTACGCTATAACAATATCTCGCAATGCACCGAGAAAAACAAATACGATTCTGGTTCCCCTAATTTAGGTAACTCTGACTCACTCAAGAACTGATGAACGTCCGTCGGCAGTGGTGGTAGGATTTTTTTTCGGTTCCTTTGTCTCAACTTCGCGCGTTAGGGTTTGGAATACGTATCCCTCGTATCTATATGCAATTGTTAAAATTATGAATGAATGCGGATTTTGTTTAGTTTCGGAAGTAATTTTGTAGTATTTAGGCTCCACCCTTAAGTTGTAATTTCTATACACACTAAACTACCGTTGCCCCGCAGGTCTTTCAGTTTGTAATGTAAATTTTCCTCTTAATGGTTACTTGAAAAATAAATCAAAAGAATACATTTTTGTTTATAAGGTATGGGTTGACATTTAACTTTTTATAATAAGGGATCGGGGCGCTAAAGAGGTGAAACTTGGAAATAGGTGAATAACATTTTTAAACTTTCCACTTGATATAAAATTTGATGTGTTTTTTCGTTTCCTTAAATTTACATAAACCAAAAGTTATTTCGACTGGCTGGTTTTGAAATGAAAGCACATAGGTACATCAGGCGGTGAGGTCATTAATTTGGTAATTTCGAATTTTATTTCAAATAAAATTGAAGCTGTTCCACAGAATTTAAAAAAGTATAATAAATCTTTCAATCCAAAAAAAGATTTTGGAGAGAAATACGGATAAAATTGCAAAAAGCGTGTTTAATTTATTGCTTGTATCGTTAAAGCCTTGCAGAAATAATTTCTCATTTTCTGGATCGATCAGCAAATTATTATCTAGCCAATGATTTATGAGAAATAAACGAGAATTTAATGAGAAATTTTGATTGGAAACATATTTCGCGGGATTATAACATTAATAAAAAGAGGAAAAATGTGGAGATACAATCTTAGGCATTTTATTGGTTCAGTTTTGCAAACATGATGTGTTCCTATATTTCATTTATTCAATCAAATACAAAAAATCACATATAGCATAAGAAAACAATATTTCCTTTATACTATATTAAGGTAGGCATTGTCTCAAAATTAAGCGAGATATAAATTAAAGTTAATAGAACAATAGGGCCGCCGAGAGCCAGGCCGGGCCCCAGGACAATTCTCTAGATCGGGCCCCTTGACAAAAAAAGAAAAAAAAGCTCTTCAAACAAAAACTTTTCCTCTTCTACTTGAATTGCTTTTTCTAAAAAAAAAGGTCCTTAAGCAAAAACAATTTTTCCTACTCTACTTGAATTGAATTTTCTAAAAAAAAAACAAAAAAAGCTCCCCAACTAAACACTTCCCGTCTCGTCTTGTGTCGTTCTCATGCAAGACAAAAAAAATCCTATTGTCGGGCCCCCCTTATACGGCTGCCGGGCCCCGGGAATTGGTCCCTGCTACCCCCCCCCCCCCTCTAGACGGCCCTGGTCCGAAGTGGGTACATAAACGCTCGAGATTTAAAAAATGCATCGGATCTGGATATGCAAACGCAGAATCGAATAAGGTTGCAGACATCCTTGCGTTTCTAACTTCTCTCATTTGCTACAGTTGTAAATTCAATAAACAAATTTAAATTATTTTAGATACTTACTGCCAACAAAAATATATTACATTATACGGAGTTATAACAGGGTCGATAACAAATTAATAACCTCAATTTATATTTATAATATTAATATAACCAAGAATTAAAATGTTCTATAAATAAATATATATAAAAAATTTGATTATTATTATTATTATTATTGATTTGTTATTCCACGCGATTGCTAATTAAAGATTGCCCGGAAACTGTCTTTTGGAATCTTATCTACCTATAAAAAAAAATAGTATTTTCCGGACTTGTTACGTAAGTTACTATTTTTACAATTCTGTTTATTTCGAGGTTTATGTAATTTATCTTTTTGAAATTTGGAGATTTTATTTTTTTCTTATCAATACAATATTTGAATATTTATGGAGACTTCTTTAACATATATTTTCAGAGTTATCGCGATAAACTAATAGGCGCACCGCGTCTTCATCGCCGATCGTAGGATTGAAAAAAAAAAAAAATGGTAGGGGCAAGTCAGTGCGTCGATATATATGTCTGCTTATTTTTCGTTATAAAATGGTATTTTTGATTAATTCAGCCGGCAGAACGTGTTTTATTCTTTTTATGTTAGTTTAGAGTGACAAGCGTTACAAATTAAGGTGAGTTTCATTTAATTTTACTCTCGTCCGGCACCAGCGCTACTTCAGGATATACAATAATAATTGGTGCACCATTTAGGCCTAAACAAGGACGAACAACCACTAGACTAATTTTGATTACCAACTTTCACGGTATCATCCACCTAAAAAGAGTATGTCTTCTTACAAAAATTGTTTGTAGTTATAATTCGGTATTGACTAAACATTCGGCTCTAAAGAACACAAAAGCTTTTTATAATTTTTTTACTGAAGTATATTTGCATTTTTAATTCCATTTATTATCAGTTTAATGTATTTTTCTCGCTGCAACTATAATAGTTGTATAATGTTTTACAGAAGAGTACTCAAGTAATTTTGAAGTGTGACAGCAGTGTAAAGCAGGCGTAGTAAACGTAAATACTAGATTAAGTAATAAAACGCATGATCGCTCCTTAGATAAACATAAAACACTCGCGCAAATCATCCCCAGTTAAATTAGCAGCTCCTTATTTCTAATGCAGCAGCCGATGCTTCACCTCTGTCTGCTTATAATAAACACAATCCAAATGATTTCAATAAATAAGAGCTTAATTATGAATTAATTGTTTAGTCTAGTAGTTTTTCGTCGTTGGGCCAAAACGACTCGGGCCAATTGCAGGGTTGCCAATCGTACGGTAATTACCGTACTTGTACGGTAATTACGGTAATTCGATCAAGGTCTAATAAAAAAATGCCATTTTAATCTTTTTACAGCACATGTTTTTTAAAAGGACCTGGTTTGAACAAAAACATAAGCTGAGGCCTTTTTTTAGAAGCTAGGTAGAAGGACCGTAGGTTGATTAGGTTGATTATTAAAACATGATAAGGACCTTTTTTTTTGAGAAGCCCGACAAAAAGATATTTACAAATATAAGGTTTTTCACAAAATAAAAGTGTACGGTTACGGTAATTTGAATTGCGCGGTACGGTAAATGGAATTTGAAGAGTTGACAACCTTGGCCAGTTGATTTTGTAACTAATAATAGATATTTATTATACAAAGAAAAAAGTAAGAGATTTTAGCTCGAGGGAGACAAACACATTGCATGTAAACCAATGAAAATAATAATAATAATAATAATAATAATAATGTTTAGTCAAATAAAGAAAACAATATAAATACAATTAAAAAAAGAGAATAAACAATAGGGGGTAATCACAAAAGCAGTTTAAAACTGCTTGTATGTGATAAAGTACATATACAAAACACATGATTAAAGATAGGTATAGTACAAGCAAACGATATAGTGTGTCTTACTTATTTTATTTTTAATTCCCTCGATATTGTAATCGTGAACATTTAGATATTCACGTTTTCGGGTCCCTAGATTACGAAAAACATGTTTTCCCCATTCCGTCGGTCTGTCTGCCGTCTGTCTGTTGGCGCAATAACTCAAAAACGGCTTAAAAAAAAACTTCACATTTTGTATGCAGGTCTTGGCTCAAAACCGGTTATACTTTCGATCAGATATATACAGGGTGCGCAAATAAAAAAACATTTATTTTTAAAAGTCAGCAGATTTCGACTAAAATTGGTTTCTGATAAAAATTTTATCTGATCAAAGATAACTGATCTAGAATTACTTTTTAAAAATTCAAAATTGCTTCCCTGTTTTTACAATTTATACAGGGTGTTTTTTATTAGTATGCTAATATTGTAGGGTGTGATTCCTCAGGTCATTTTATGAAGAAAAACTCATATGAACATATGTCCGCAACGGCTTCAATTTTTTGCTACAGGCAGTTGAAAATTTGTTTTTAAAGAGGTATTTTTTATTATAATAGTTTAGATATAATTTTCAATTTTGACATGTGTTAATCGGATATAAAACCATATATTTTAATTAGAAAATTTATTTTATTGCTCTACCAGTGGCGTCTCTGCAAACATGTCATCTGATATTTTCTACAAAAAAAGTAGTACGCCACTGACATTTTTCCATGTTAATATTTTTACTCATTTGACTGATCAGTTCTATATGAATACGGTATCTTGTATTTTTCTCGTCAGCCGCTCGGTTCTAGATTAAAATAATTTAAATTAATCGTCAATACTGCAAAATGAAGAAATTTTAATTTAATTGATGAACGATAAGGTAAACGACACTACAGTATGTGGTTTAATATCCCATTAAAAATACAAAAATAAGAGGAAATCTCAATACAATATGTCCATGATATTCAGCAATACTATCTATGGCGTATACTCTTAAATTGTTTCGTCCGAAAGTTTAAGAAGTTCTTGTTTCTAATAAATATAAATATAAATAAATCATTGTCCATTAGAAAATTTTGTATATCCATTTTCGTCATCGTGTTGAATGTACTCTTAAAAAATCTGCGTCTTGACTAACTCGTCGGCAGATCAACGATTCTCCACAGCTGTGGATTCACAATGCTGTACAGGTGGCTGGAAATACAACCGACAGGACTGGACTAGGTTTGTGAATAAACTTTTTAGAAAATTAACTTAGTTCGTTGTATATTTTTCTGGGGTGCCATGAAGTCTACTTCCATTCAACCCTTACACGTGGAAGCTCTGGAACCTCCTTTGGAAATAAGAAGAAATTATCTCAGTGAAAAAATGTTAATTAAAATCTATACCAATAATCCTAAATTATTTCATCAGATTATTATATTAAATAGTTACGATTTGACTAATAAATATTGGGTTAAAAAAAAAAATCTCTGTATAAAACAACCCACCACCCTGGAATTAATGATTTTTTTAGCTTTTATTCAGACATTTCCTTCATTAAACCAAACTATGAAGAAAATATATCTATAAGTAGCAATATATTACTCTCTATTTTAAATAATTTTGAAAATGCTTTAATATTATATACGGACGCGTCCAAATCAGCTAATGGCGTAGGCTCTGCTTTCTTTGAACCTAAAGAGCACATAGAAAAATCTTTTAAAATTAGACAAGAATATTCAATCTATACTGCGGAAGCTGCGGCTACTATGAAGCACTTATTTACGCGTCTTCCTGCAACAGAGAAACAATAGTTATTGTATCAAGTTCCCTCTCTGTTTTAACATCTATTAAAAAAATGAGCTTCCTAATACATCGACTTGTTCTTTTGTAATAAATATTAAGAAACTTATCCAAACATTTTCAGAAAGAGACCAGAACGTGCATTTTATTTGGATTAAAGCTCACATTGGGCTAAAGCATAATGAACATGTACATTTGTTGGCCAAAAAAGGCTCTGTAACAGGTTCTAATACGTCATACAATTTATCTGTTTCTGATGTTACTGCAATATTAAAAAGAAATCAGTTCAATAAATAGCAACACTTGTGGCAGGAATATTGTTTAACAAACCCAACGAGGTATACGACTCTTCAGTTAAACATTCCTAAGATCCCTTGGTACAAGCATTATGAAATACCGCGAAAATACATATCGACAATCATTAGGATGAGATTTGGTCATGCCTGTTATCCTAGCAATTTATACAAAATTAAAGTCTCTGAAAGTGACCAATGCGAGACGTGTAATGAAAAAGGAGATCTAGACCATATCTTCTTAAATTGTACTTAAAACAAAAAATTCTCAGACAAGCTATATAACGACCTGCTTAAATGCAAAATATGCTCCCCTTGGAATATCCAAAGTTTATTGTCCTCCAATTCCACAAACATTTATGACTGTTTGATTAATTTTTTAATGTAATCAGGTATACGCTTGTGATTAGTACTTCCCTTAGACTAGTTACCTTTGTTTTCTCTCCTATTGTTTTATTTTACCCCCTTACCGTGACCTAGTGTTTGTCTGTTTTTTTGTAATGCCTTGATGGGTCCCTAGGCGAGAAGCGAGTGTCCCCGTTCAATCCTCTTGTTGTTATTTGAAATTAAATATTTAATGATTTACCTCTTCCATTTTGTGACTGGCTGTATGACAAAGAGTCTATGCCAAAAAAAAAGTAGAGTCAAAAAGACTTGCACCTTTATATAATTTTTGAATTCTTTTTCCGTTAAAGCCTCACCTTTAAAATTATTTAGGGTGGATAATTTTTATTCAAATTAACTGTATATAAATCGTCTTGGAATTCCCCAAATAAACATTTCCAAATTACTTCTGGAAAATATTAAAAATATTGTTTAACCCCAAAAATAAAGGATTTTAGAGATATTCTGGGATTTGAAACCATCTATTCGTGTTTTATGCACCCTGCCTTTATCAATTCGGCCGAGAATCCGGCTATCGGGATACACACGAATAGATTGGATTCGAACCCCAGTCTGGGATATAATTTTTTAAATTTTTTCACTAATTTTATTTTCTCTTTGGGGGTTCAAAAATATTTTTCAATATTTTATAGGGGTTATTTTGAAATATTCATTTGGGGACTGTTAAAAGAATTTATATATCTTTGTTTTCAGATCAATAGCACAGTTTTCAGAACTTTAAATTGATTTTTTTCTATATACAGTGTGAGCCACCTGTAATGCCTCGGTCTATAGAGTTAAAATTATGTAATTTATCTTAACGGCTAGATGTATATTAGATAAAACAATTTAAAAATAATTTTCATTATACAGGGTTATATTCAAGTGTTTTCAGAAATATAGACTGTTCAAAAAATGCAAGTATCTTTTGTACAATGCCAAAACCGAAAATGTGTAAATTTTGAATTTTTCTCCTTAGGCATTGTACCGACGAATGTCCCAAATTTCTTAATAATTTAAATTGATTTTTTTGGGAAATTTAGTCTTCTGGTCAAATACTTATTGTACGAAATATGTACTTATTATACATTATCAGTTGCCTACGATAAATAAATAATGTTTCTGAAACTACTTTAATACCCACAAAATCACATATATTTACCGGCGATGTATAATTAAGTCCCAGAATTTATAATCCGCCTTAATGATAGCCAAGTTGAGTCCCCAGAGAAGGGTAAATTGAGTCCCGGGCCTACCTGATCTTGCACAGTTAGTAGGGGTTCGTAATCTGTTTCTAGAATATT